GGGGCCGGGGCGCTCCCCGCGCTAACGTGTGTCCGCTCCGTGCAGGGGGGAAAGCCTTCGGGCTGCTCCGGGCGCGGCAGCAGGGCCGGCTGGAGGAGATCAACAAGGTAGGAGCCGCGGGGGAGCCGGGCTGGGGAAACTGAGGCACGGGGGAGTGGGGCAGCAGCCGGGGTCGCCGGGCGGGGGTAGGCAGGGCTGAGCTCCCTGCTGCCTGCTGGGGTGACGAAGCTGCTGATCCGGCTGCGGGGAGCAGGGCAGCCTTCCTCAAGGTGGAGGGGCTCCAGGGTAGGGCTGAGTTAGGAGGTGGCGGCTGAGGAAACTGAGGCACGGAGCCGGCAGAGCCGCTCGTCCGAGGGGGGAGTGGGGCAGCTCTTCCTTTAGCTGCTCCCCTGTTACGGCCAGAAAGCTGGGAGCCCTGGCTGGGACCGGGAAGCCATCACCTCCCCCTCCTGCTCGGCTGCCAGGCTCCAGTTTGGGGAACCGCGGCTCTGCTGGGTTGTTCACACAGGGTAGGGGCTGCGGGGTGGAGGGTCCCCGGAGCAGAGGGGCTGGTGGAAAGAGCCGTCCTAGCGCTCACTGCGTGGCTGCACGGAGCAGCCGCCCCTTGGGTGCCCCCAGAGCCACAGGGCCCCTCGTGCAGCCCGGGCAGGGCTCGGCTGCTAATTGGACAGGCCCCGGGATGGGCTGGCAGGACTCTAGGAACAAGCAGCCAGGCCTGTCCCAACTCTTGGCTCTTGGGGCCGTTGGCCGGAGTCCTAGTGCTAGCGCAGCAGCTTGCAAGCGCTGGCAGGGTCGCAGGGCTGGGTCCAAGGCTGTGTGGAAATGAGCCGCCCACATCGGACAGGACCCGTGGAAATAAGATGGATATCGCCCTCTGTCCCCCCTGCCAGGTCCCCCCCTGCCAGCAGGTGCAGCATCCCCTGGGGCATGCAGGGTGCTCCCCATGCCTGTCATGCCCACACCCCGGGGAGGGCTGGGCTCGCATATGGCCACAAGCAAAAGGAGCTGGCATGGGATGGGGCATCTGGTCGGGTGCTGGGGGGAGCTGGTGGGGCAGGAGATCTGTTTTGTACCCCCAAGGTGTTGGCCCTGCCCTGTGCCCCTCTGGGCACAGGAGACTCTCCTGGGTGCTGGCCTTTCAGGTGGCTGAAAGATCAGGCCTGTCTTATTAAGGGGCAATCAGTAGCCAGGTGTGAGAGTGAGAAGAGACCAAGGGTCTTTCTGCCCTTGGTCTAACCAGCGCAGAGTCTGTGGCCAGTGCCAGTAGCACAGCGACGCTCCCCGAGGCTCTGCCCTGAAAGAGCAATGGGGTGGGCTCCATGCCTACACCTGCCTCCAGGTCCCCCACAGGGGCAGGGTGGCTGTGGGGGGCAGGTGGTGGCAGCCCAGGGGGGCAGGTGGAGCCATCTTCCAGTGGAGGGTGTTGGATCTTCCCTGGGCAGGGAGCTCTTCCTTCGCGCCCGGGGCCCCGGAGCTTGGAAATCAGCGGGGAGTGGGATTTCCTTGTGCTCGTGAGAGGGAGCATTGTGCACCGGTGGTTGCTGAGTGGCCAGCTGCCACAACAGTCCCCTCGGGAGCGCGCCGGGGGAAGAATGGGGGCTATTGTTCTGTGGGAAGGGCTTTCAGCTCTCGCTCTGATCTGTGTGGAGCTGCTTTGATTTCCTCTCCCCGGAGCGTGGAGTTTCTGCCCATCCCAAGTGCTGACTTCGT